GGGGATAATATTAACAGTAAGCAAAGGCCAGAATGTGTGAGACAAGGTGCTGATACCACTGAGCACTTGTACCAAGCTGAAAATCCTTCCTAGTGATTCAGAGGGAACCTCAGCAAGATGGAAAAACAAATCCAGCCACTACCAAGAGAAAATTCTTGCCCTCACAGTTCCACCTCATAACTAAAATCCTTAAATACCAAAAGGAAAAACGGCTATAAAAGCTTTTTTGCATCTCTGACTATGTTTCCTCATCTCTAGGTGTCAGTTCTGTCCTCAGTGCTGCCTGACATTCCCCTTACAGACCCTGATTCCACTGAGGAATGCTGCCCACCCCAGGCTGGGAAACCTGCCTAGGGGAACATCAGCATCTCAGAGTGCTTAAATATGCTATCTGTGCTAGAAGCACAGCAGGCTGAGCCTGCCAGCTCCTTCTCAAAGCCTAAAGTAGAAAGGAATTGGCTACAAATGATAAAATGACCATGGTGCCACGACTTTCAGGTGCACTCTCCTCCCTAGCCAGAGCTCTAGGAGAAACCTGTGGAGCCTGAAGGTCCCTGTGGCCACCCACCTGCTCAGTGTGAGGCACACTCACCTCCCTTTTCTGCACTTTGGAAAGCTGAGGGACACACAGCTTTTCCAGCTTCTTATATATGGACACAGACGTCTTTCATCACCTGCCACAAATATACCCCTAGGAAGAACTTGGGAATGGGCTGAGGATACCTCCTAATCTCCCCACTCCACAGCTTCGTTTTAAGCTGTTAAACAGCTGCAAGAGTCACAAAAGCAATTCCTGCATCATGTGCAAGTCACTCAGCTGCAGCACACGCTGGTTTTATGGGATACAGTAATACTTGGGCACTTCACAGCCTCCATTAAAAAGTGACACTACAGCAATCCCCAAAATAGCACAGTTACAGCCAATTTTTAATACAGAGGAGAAATGGAAAAAGATTTGCACCAGGAATTTTGATCACAGGAAACAGAGGCCTCATGAATTCCTTTAATCCATTGCTTTTTCCCCATGGATCTAAGGGATTATGGGCAGCTCCTTAACCAAACCCTCTGTCTGAATCCCAGACTTAGAGTGTGAAACAAGATGAGCTAATCTTTTACTGCTAGTTATCTCAGACCACAACATCCCACCTGAGTCAGTCACCAGAGAAGGACAAGCCCCAATATCTTCTCAGTCCTGGTGACATCAACAGTAAAATCTTACTGCCAAGCTGCACTCCATTCTACCTCTTCCCCCCTCAAAATTGCGACTGATTGCTGACAGATCCTTACCTGTGGCTTCCACCATTCCTTCCAGGATGACCACAATTTCAAACTCCTCCTTCTCCAGCTGAGTGCGAGACATCTCCCAGAAGGGACTTTTCTCATTGATTTCATGGGAAATGATGAGAGGTGACACCAGGAACAATCTGTCATCTCCAGTGTCAAATCCCACGTTGATGTCTGTTTGGTTCAGGGGAATAAACTCTCCCTCTTTGGTCTGTTTGGACTTAATGAGTTTGGCTCTAATGGAAGCCTCGACAATGTGGGAATTGCGGAGGTCTCCCACCCGGAACATGAGACAGAGCTTCTCATCCCTCATGGAAATCACTGCGTTGTTCGAAAACATGAGGGTTTCAGCCCTCTTCTTTGGTTGGCTGATCTTCACAAACATGCATCCCACCATGAATGCATTGACAATGGAGCCCAGAATTGCCTGGATCAGGAGCAGGATGATGCCCTCAGGGCACTTCTCCGTGATGACCCTATAGCCATACCCAATCGTTGTCTCAGTTTCAATAGAAAACAGAAATGCAGAAACAAATCCACTGAGGTTTTCCACACAGGGGATCCAGTTCTCATCTTCCAGGTGGTCCAGGTCACCTCGGATATAGGCAATGAGCCACCATATGAACCCAAAAAACAACCAAGTGATGGTATAGACCATGGTGAAGACAAGGAGATTAAAACGCCACTTGAGGTCCACCAGCGTCGTGAAGAGGTCGCTGAGGTATCGATAGGTCTCTTGGACATTTCCATGGTGCACATTGCACTTGCCACTCTTCTCCATGTAACGCTGACGTGGCTTCTTACCTTCTGCTGAGATGAGGCGAGTTCGGTCCGTGGCAATGGGGACATCATCCCGAGCCTGCTTGGGGATCTTCTTCGGCTCTCTGGATGTGACTCCGATGTCCATGTCCTGGTTCATGAAGATCCTAGAATCTCCAGCCATGGCTGGGCTGCAGGAGAACAAAGACATACAGTTTAAGACAGAAGGATCAAAGAGAGAAAGTTTGAGATAGAAGGAGACGTAGTGGGGAAGTAGTGGCTGCCCCAACCCTGGCAGTGTTCACAGCCAGGTTGGCTAAAGCCTTGAGCAACCTGCTCTGGTGGGAGGTGTCCCTGCCCAGGGCAGGGGGTTGGGGCTGGATCATCTCTAAGCTCCATTCCAACCCCTTAACATTCTAAGATTCTATGAAAATAGCTGAGACAAACCCACTTTGTTTCACTGCCTGGACCATTCTGACAGTGCTTTGGGAAACACTTTGAGAAGGTTCAGCACTTCTCCCCCAACAGCCACTTGCTAAATATGATGCTGCAGTGAATTGGAAGTGAAATACTGATTCGTAACACGCAGTTGCTTCAGACATCAACTGTTTGCCTGTCACTGCTCAGTGCATTGCTGGAGCCTCCGAAAATGTGGTGATGGGCATGGTTGGGAGTCATGAAAGAGTTAAACCTTGTTGCAGCCTTTTGGTCCTCAGCTTTCCTTAAACCCTAAACTTGCTTGAAACGCAACTAAGAACAAAGTAAAGATGCATCAACATATCTTTTTAAGAGGGACTGGAGGTTTTGATGCCTCAGGTTTTGGGTGCATATCAAGAGAAACCTTAGAGAAATGCTGAGCATCACTGTCTACCTAAATCTCACCTAAGTCTAAATTATGCATGAAGGTTTCCCTCAGAGTCAGCAGAGAAAGGCATCTCCAGGGAAAACTCGGATTCCAAGAGTGCTGAATCACTTTGTGGAAGTACCTATCCCTTCCAAAAATCCTTCTGTGAGCTTGGGCTTCAAATGTGAAATAGATAATTGAGTATCTTGAAAGACATGTCTGAAGGTGTGATGAATCCAAGCCTGCTGTTCATCAGATATCTCAGAACCCTTTGCCTCACTTGACATTAGGCAGAGCCACTAGGCACTCAGAGATGTCTCAGGCAGCTCTTAAAACTCCTCCTGTCCACATGCAGAATTATGCTCACTGAGATCCAAATAAATAACACAAACTGATGGCTGCAATGATTTTTGCAGGTTATAATGTAACATCCTGTTTACTAAGATGATTAGATACTCCTTTAAAAAATGAAAGTCATGACTCTGGATGCAGGGCACAGACAAAATCTCTGTCAAAGCCTACCTAAGCAGCCTCAGGGATATCAAAGATACAGCAGCAATATTTTCTATGGCATTCATTCTCTGCATTGTCCTCTGCAAATCCTATTAAAACCTAACTAAATCTATTACTGCTCCCTCTATCTTTAATCTTCTTATGAGCCTGTGAATGAGAAAAGGTGTAGGGATACAATTAAGAGTATCTTGGGAGAGACAATTTTGAGACTGAGCAAAGTAGCTTCATCTTTTTGGGATTAAAAAGCACAAAGGGTGGGCGGGGAGGAAGCAGAGGCAGGAGGAATAAATGAAGCAACAAATTTCCACTTCCACTCTGCTCTAGCCAAGTCTGGTTAACAGCAAAGAATTACTCTTAGCCCTTGTATAAGTCACCATCAATCATTACCCCAACGAAGCAGCCGGAGCCTGTTGCTGGAACCAGCCCCGCTGGCTCCGTTCTGCAGGGAGCTCAGCCATCTGTCCCCAGCACAGGCCCAGAGCTGCTTCATGCTGCCACACTCGCTTGGTTTGAAGGGTTTGGGTCAGGGCTGAGCCAGTGCAGCCACAGGAAGGGATAAATAATCACACAATCATGGAATTTTAGGGGTTGGAGTGGAGCTTAGAGATGATCCAGCCCCAAACCCCTGCCCTGGGCAGGGACACCTCCCACCAGAGCAGGTTGCTCAAGGCTTTAGCCAACCTGGCTGTGAACACTGCCAGGGCTGGGGCAGCCACAGCCTCCCTGGGCAACCTGGGACAGTGTCTCACCACCCACACAGGGAAAACTTCTGCCTAATATCTAACCTAAATTTCCCTCTTTCAAATTATGCATCCCATAATAGGGATTAATGATGCTGGGATGGTAAATTAGGAGGGCTCAGCTTTGCAATCCACACTGGATGCAGGATAGGCAACTCCTTCTGTATAAGGACTTCACTGACAGCTTCAGTGCCATTACAATTCCTCCTAATATCTCATGCTCAACTCCCCCATCACAGTCTAAGTGTAACCTTAGTATGTGGTTCATTTGCTAAGCAGAAGAATTTTTGCTTTAGATTCTCTAAGAGGAATGACACTGGTGAGCAGTTTGACCACAGCTTTGGATGCCTGCACACTCATCAGCTTACTGGTCCAACTGATTTCAGTCTTTTCTCTCCAATTCTTAGTGCTGTGTGTTCCCTTCCTCAAATGCCAACATCAAGATTTTGACAGAATATCCATCCCTCCCAGTATTTCTCTCCCTCCTGAAGGCAGGACTGCTGTGAGCTGCCTCATGGCTCATGTGTCTAAATAATACATCTACAGCCACTTTCTACTACCTGTTGCAACTGCCACCTCCTGGGCCCTTGGTCTGGCTGTCTCTGCACTGTGCTGTGTCTCCACATCTGTGCAAAGTGCCTGCAGATGTTGTCAGTGATCAGGGCACATATTGACTCTCACTTCCCAATGTGTGAAAGCATATGGCAGAACAATCACACTCTTTTTCCCCCTCTTTAATCAGGGAAGAATCATCCCATCCACTGCCTTAAAGGGAATTAGGTAGCCAAGAACCTCTTCCCTTTCTTCTTATGAATATCACTCTTGATGCATGTTTGCATTGACTGAGCAATCTCAAATTACTCCATTCGGACTAAAAAGCTTTTAACCAATCTAAATGTAAATCCAGGCAAATGCTGCATGTTTTCAATTTTAAAAGACTTGTCTGAAAGGTAATTTTGTTGCATAAGTTACATTCAAAGCAAAATTTCACTGACACTATGTAAGAGAGAACAATGGTGTTCAAGACATTCATCGAGAGTGTAAGGTTTCATGGTCCAGATTCATACCAAAGAGACCTAAAGGATCTTAAAGCATTAAAAAGAACAGAATAAAAGCAATCAAACAGCTTAAATCTCTAGAAAGATCACTGCTGAAGCAACCTAGAGGAAATGCCCATTAATGAATGTACAGGGAAACCTACTTTAACTAAAGGGACTAGCAACATCCCTTCTCTAATGCTACTGCTCTCCAGCAACAGCTCAACTGAAACCCTTCTGGAAACCTTCAGGAACACCTTAGGAGTGATCCATTAAAGCAGAAAAATTCCTGTTGTATAAGGACTTCACTGCCAGCTTCATTGCCATTACAATTCCTCCTAATACCCCACCTCAAACTCTCCCATCGTAGCCTAAGTGTAACCTTAGGATGTGGTTTAAGCAGATGAATTTTTCTTTAGATTCTCAAAAAGGAATGTCACTGGTGAGCAGTTTGAGCAGTTTGAGCACAGCTTTGGATGGCTGCACACTCGTCAGCTTCCTGGTCCAACTGATTTCAGGCTTTTCTCTCCAATTCTCAGCAAATCACTGCTTTTCCCTCTGCCTTAATTCCCCAGCGGTAACATTTGTGATGTGGCTATGAACAGGCTGTGAGATGCCAGGCAAGAATCTTCCAGGAAATATCCTGTCATGCTTTTATTAGTTTAACTGCCCTGGGAAACTTTAGCAAGTTGACAATGACAAGATACTCTAAAAGGAGCACTGTGACTGTGTAAGGGTTTGGTTAACTCCTTCACCGTGTAATATACTGCCACTGCCACCAAGCATAAACATCTCTTCACATCATGGTAAATACGTGCAAGAATCTCCCAGAGACTTAGACTGAGTTTGTAAATCTCTGCTCCCTTCAACACAGAGATCCATGAGGTGAAATTGCCTCTTATAGCCACATGCACCATCCTGTTCCTTTGCCATTTACCATCTTTAGTTAAACGGGGGCAGAGTAATAAAAATGTCCCTTTGGTACAACACTAGGACTGTCCCTCTAGGACAGGCTACTGCACAAGATGTGAGTCAGTGCATTATCAGCCTGGCAGAGAGGCTTTTTATCAGCCTTGCTGTTGTCCAGCTGCTGCCCAGATGACAGTCTCGGGGCAGGCACTGACATTTAGGGCTCTTGGATTTGCTGCAGGAGAGTCAAGCTGGGGTGAGGTGAGTCCCTTCAGGAGGCAGAGCTGCTGCAAGCCTTGCCTGACAGCACTGATGTGCCTCCTGATAGCTCCAGGTCTCCACCACAGCAATTTGCTGAAGATATTGCAGAAGGTAAAATAAGAAAAGTCTGCAAGAAACTTTTTTCCCTGCTGACCAAGGTGACTTTTGCCATTAAACAATCACTGAGCTTGCTGAAGTACACACAGGTTTCCATGGGGTCAGGAGAGGACCAAACTGGCAGGCAGGAGAATTTGAGGATATGAATTTGTCATCAAGTTTGTGTAAAAACAGACTTCTTTTTGTTTCTCTGATGCCTGTTTTCTCACATTATGAGAATAAATGAGCAACTGTTCTTTAGCAAACCTCCCACACCTTCCCAAAACAGGATTTTACTTAACTCTGTCACCTTTTTTTTCTAGACAATGAGTCCTGAGCCACTCAACAAGCAATCAATAAATACTAAGATCATTACTGAAAACCCTGATATGGTTCTTTTGCTGCCCATTGTCCCACACCACACGAAACAGAGAAGAGCTTACTGTCCCCAGGTTCCTCTGGGCCACAAAATTCTCCTCTGGGTTACACTGCTGCAAGGGAATGAAATTCTTAATTGGCAAACACTAGTAATTTGGGAAAGTTGGTGGAGGACTAAAGAAAATGAAAGCAGTAGGACCCAAAGGGAATGAAAGCATTGATTGCTGAGCACTGAGTGCTAGTGGAAAGATGGAGGAGGAAGGAATGGTAGGAAAAGATGGTCTTTGACAACCTGGAGACAAATGACTGTAAAATAGGCACTGACTTAGATGGGACTTTGATTTCCCTGAGAAAGGTTTCTTTCCTTCTCTCCCTTTATTTACTGCCTGTGTGTGTCTGAGACTGAACA